CCCCAACCCCAAAACCCCAATTCAAGTCCAAGTGCAAGATGTTCTCATTGTCCCTGGGCGCAGGTGAAATGGACGCCGCCCAGAAGGTCAGTCTGTGCCAGACTGAACGAAAAGTCCACAGAAAAGGGCTTACGCAAACCGTTTCGTTAAGGTGCGCGATTGCCCAGGCGGGTGACCTCACGCCAAGCTCGCAGGCGGAAGGCATCCTTCTGGCGCTCGTGCAGCCCCTTTTAAAGAAGCTCACCTGGAGACAAACCCAGAAAAGGATTAGAAAATGCAAAAGGGGAAGGGGCAAAAGAGCACCCAAAACTGAATGGCTTCCCATGACGCGTTGGTCTGAAAGACTTGGTATGCATTATAAACAAAACTGGGTTGGAGAAAGAGCACAGAGCCGCAGGCAGTTAAGCAGTTACTGCTTACACAGTCTTAAGTTATTAGACCACCAGAAAGATCGAAGCATCGCTTGGGCAGTCAGAGTTCCCTTCTGCATCGTTTCATCTGTACCTGGGATCTGCAGCGGGCTTTGAAAGCGTAAGAACTTACTTTATGAAAAATCCCTGACACGCAGTACTTCTCGGGGCGTTCGAGGACTGCAGCCTGGGGGACAGGAAAAGGAGGAACCGCTCGCACCTCTTCCCCCGCAGCTTCGCTCTGCAGGCAGTAGAGGCAAGTGCTCTGCATCACTCTGCTGCTGCAGCTACGTGGACAACTGATCCAAGTGGAAAAGACCCTTTTTTGTTAGGTTAATTCTCAAACAGGTAATTTTCCAACCCAGGCCACAGTGCAGCTGATGCATGAAGAAGTTTGATCTGTTACTCTCTGAAATGAGTCACCTAATTAGGATCTCCTTTTACACCTGCCAGTCCAGAATATTATCTTCTAGCATTTAAAATTACAATTGGAAAGGCATAGAGAATTACCAGGCACTTAAAGGCTGAAGCAAATACAAACAGCTCTTCCGTTGTAATATTTTATGCACTTTTTGAACTGCCAGCATTAGCAGTTTTGTTGGCACCAAATGCCCAACCGAAGGCAAAACGAATAATCCAGCTATGGAATAAAGGTGAAGTGTTAGTCTTGACATGTGCACCGGGCATCCCATGTGTGGCCTTCTGGATGCCGGGAAAGGCAGGGACCCTCATTGGTGGGGTCAGCCCAAGAGAATGCACAAATTCTTAAAAACTGGCAGGTGGCTGCTGCACTACTTGTATTGGCTTTTCCAATCTAGCTTCACACAAAAGAGCAGTTCTGTAGGTGACACAGGTGGGGCAGAACAGGCTCAACCATCAAAATACATCAAAATTACATTGGACAAGAGTTCAGCTGGCTGATTTTAGAGACTCGTAATTGCTGAAGCCCAACAAAAGGCATACAGCCTCCAGGAACTCTGCCACAGAGTGAGTTTGAGCCCTGTGGCAACAGGAAAGTTTCACGGCATGATGGATACTACACAGTAACAAATACATACGAGCATCAGTGGAGACCGTAAATAAAGGGAGTTGGGAGGAACAACAGCCAGCCTTCAGGCAAGGCGTGCTTTCTCTCAGCATACGCAGATAGTCTACACTCTCAGCTGTTCTCCACACGATCAAACATGAGACAAGCAAAACTGATTCTATCCTTCACGCCTTGGCTGAGCGACAAAGGAGGGGGAGTTTGTCTCACTTTGCCTTTCAGATGACTGTCCGAGCAGGCACTCAAGAGTACAGGTGCAGCCCAGCAATCACTGCTAGTGGGAAACCTCCTCAGCTGTAAGCACAGTGTGCATGCCCAGCAGGGAGCACACTCCCATTTTAAAGCTGCATTACAGTACGTAACCTGAAAAGCAGCTCAGATTTGACTCAGTGGAATATGGAATAAAATTGCCTGGCTAACAGTTTGCCAAAGGTACCTTCCTTTGTAACCACTGGGACACAAGTGACATGAACCTGGAGAGTACCATTTACAGACATGCTTCACAGAAGAGGTGCAAACACAAAACACCCAGAACAGATTTTTGACTTGTCATTAAAGTCCATGAGAAGTACAGCAAAAATAATCTCTGTATTAAAGAACAGCAAAAATCCTATTTATGCAAAAACTCCACTTGAGAGTGCGGAGGTGACTAACAATCCCTGTTTTAAACAGGTAAATAAACAAATCCTCTCACAGAACATGAGTCAACAATTGTCACATCAAAGCAAAAATGCTGGCATAAAACTGAGAGCTGATCAAGAACTAGTAGCGAGTGGAGAGCTGAATTTGCTCTTGCTTGCCCAGATGCAGTTCCCAGTTAAATCAATACTAGTTATGCCTACTGAGACTGAAAGGCAGAACTATTACAACTCTGATTCTGCTAAACTTAAACATATGTAAATATCCCAAGTAGCCCCACTGAAATTATTAAAATTACTCCTGTCAGTCTCAGATTGCTGGTAATTATTAACACAATGTTTCCGAAGCTTATCGTCGTTATTTATCAGTCTCATCGGTGAGCTATCATTTTGCAGGTGTACTATTTTGGTCAACTGGACTACAGCCAGACAGGATATTAGCAGGTAACGCTAAAAGTTTTATTCCAGTTTCACTTCCACTGAGTCTGAACTTGAGGCAGTCGATATTAGAAGTCAGCAAGTATCTTCAGGAGCTTGCTTTTACATTGTGAAACTACCTGAATTAACATAAACCAAAATTCATCTTTATTTCAACCAGTGCTGCCTTAACGATGTCAATGGGCCAAGCCCTCCCATTCTGCTGAAAAAGAGGATGAATTTGAATTAATCGCTGAGACGAAAATTAGGCCAATGTACCTGCCCTAGCTTATCTTTACATGCCTGTTACACCATATACGAAAGATCATTTGCTAAACTGATTCTGCAGCTTGATGTCATTTTAATGAAGACATTATGGTTGCTTAATTAAACTGTTAGAAACAAAATCAGGGATTCACAAACTATGGCATTTTATTTCAGAGGCCTTTGCTTACATTTGTACAATATATTACATAATTCTCCATTTTCTGCAGAACCTAATATATATTTTATAGCTTTTTTTCTATAAGCTTTTCCTTCAACGTTTGTCAACAAATTTTTACAGTCCTGTACAATTCTGAATACTTTGAAACCATTTTCAATAAAATCAGTTAACCTTAAGCACACACTACGAAGACTGAAAATGCTTTTCTTAGAAAAGTCAAATGTAAAGGATTCTGACACTCTAGCATCTACAAACAAAATGCTTTGAATTCTTACATGTTGTATTGCCAGAAAACAAAGAAAAACATGCCAGCCCCTATTTCCCCAGGCAAAAGAAGTACACAGAACTACAATTAAAACAGTAAAACAATCTGTACAATAAAGTACTGTGTATTAACAGTGCCAGGTATTAAATAGCTTGAATGAACACTTCCGCAATATACAAATGTCTTACAAAGGTATATAATTAACAGGAGAGAGCTTGGGATCCATACAACATAAAATCAATACAAGTGAAAACAGTTTGAAGTTGGTTTTGGAATTTGTACAAGGCATTTTAAAAAATTAAATGTCTACCACTCAGCTAGCTATTTATTTTAAAAACAACTACCCTTTTGTGGCAGTGTTCATATCAGCAACCACAAATTATAACCTTGCACCTTACTCGGTCTTGAAGTCCTCTCCTTGAAGCTCGTAATAAAATAAGCATTACAAATGAAATATTTGTTGCTTTAAGGGAAAAGAAACATTTACAAGAAAACACAAAAATATAACTGTTATAATCCATTATGAATAAATATACACTTTAAACTGGCTAAATACAGTCTTTATACATTAAGATTTAATACAGTTTGTTAGCCATTTTCTTCCTTTTTCATAACGTATTTTATCAAAATTAAAAAAAAAATACTGTTTTATAGAAAAATGGCAAAGTACAGTAGTTTCATTCCAATTAATGGGTTCTTAAAACCCAGAGTAACCTATTTAAGCCTAATTCAAACCTGTAAACATTAGTCAGTCTTTTTTTGTTTTTTAAAGGAATCCTCGTATTTGGTTATCAGGACTGATGTCAAACATCCTACTAACTGCAGGTTTTGAATTGAATACATGTGCTTGACGTATACAATTAAAGCCACTATAAGGTGACTTAGCAGTTAAAAAACAATTAGCTTGTACAAATGAAAATAGGTTCAATATTTGTCATAAATAAATGGAAAAATATCAAATGTTCCAGCTTTAACAAAATACCAGGGAATACAGTAAGCCTTACCACATGTATTTAGATGAACCCAACAACTATATACTTATTGTACTGTCTCTACAGGCAGTGAACAGCCTCCATTTGCCACAGTGGAAGGCCTTCGAGTCACTAGACTTACAATTCCCAGACAAGTTGGAAACAATTATTGCTTGAGGAAAAGCAGTTTGTTGTACTTTTTCTTCGTAAAAGTGCACTTAAGTGCAAAGTTAGCTTGTCAAGAAACAACTTTAAATACAAAATAGTGCTTGTCTGAATTTTGTGCCACTGTGCAGTATAAAAAAAACAAAAAAAACAAAAAGAGTGGCCCTCAGCAGCCATTAAGTGCAAAGTGCTTTGCCAAGTCCTGCTGTCACCTGCACTCAACTGACATTCCATTCTGTGATGAACTTGACATAGATGGTTCTGCTAAAGTTAACATAACTGCAGCCGTAATGGAACTAGAGGAAGGTGATGAGGAGGAAGATGATGTAGTAGCAGCACCTGCACAGGAAGAGGAAAACACAGGTTATAAAAATTTACAGGTTAAGCAATAAAAATGTTTTCCCATTCAACAACAAGCATTGGCATATACTGACTCTGGCAACTAATGCCCAGCAATTAAAAAGAAAAAAGCCTCCATTCCCTAGTTTTTGTGGGAAATACTCTGAGAGACAGCTTCGGCCGTGTGCCAGACAGCATGGCATTGCCCCTTGCAGCCCAAGTTCACTGACCACCCAGATCAAGGGCCCAGCCAGAGGACACCAGAGCTCGTTCCTGACCTGCAAGCGCAGTCAACTGTTCCCTTTCTTTCTTGGGGGAATCAGCACAGTAGGGCCTTGTCCCAGCACTGAATCTGCACATGCACCCTGCTCCGGCAACCAAGAAGCAACTGCAGTTCCTGTGTGAAGGTTGCAGCCATAAAATCTTACTACACATGGCATTTCAGTCGTCTTATACTCAGTGAACTCTTAAATGTGCACATAAACAAGACACGGAGAAAATAATCCTTTTAATGCTGCTAGAAGCAGGCACACTAGAACATTCCCTACAGCAAAAAGTAAAGCAGCTTCAGGGATATGAGAGATTTAATTGATGGTCTCCCTTACACTCATAGAATAAATCACTTACCCTAAGGGGAAAGCACTAACTGGACACACAAGCAATACTACAGTAAATTATTGTGTAACTTGAAGAAAAGTTATTAATAACCATAGATACTTTGTTCACTGCTTAGAAAAGTTTATTTTTCTGTACATTTTTTCTGTATAAAGTAGTTCTGCCGAAACAGAATTAAATAGATTGCATGCCTTTTTAATGTTTTTCCCTTTACATAGTCACTGAATATCTGAACCATACCACAAGATCATAAAATAACGGTATACAGTGTTTTTCAACAAACAACCCCCCCCATACACACTCTCCTAATGGCACACATCTCCCTAAAAATTGCCCAGTTCTTGTAAACGCCTTAATAGCATGACATACAATTTAGCCCTCAAAGTAGAATTTAGTTCCCAGCACTTACTTTCCCGCTCTTTTTTCTTTAAGCGCTTTCTTCTTCGGTCAATGGAAGCCACCTCAGATTTCAAGGACAGGTAATGTTTCCTGATTTCCTGCAATTTTTCTTGGAGAACTGTTATGCGCTCGGCGCTAGTCAAATTTTCCAAGTCAGCTGCAAGTTAAACAACCTCTGTTAATTATTGTATCGCAGCATTTCCAAAACCTTCTGAATTTCAGTGAAGCGGGAAGTATTCAAATCTTAGTGACGTGCTTTGATGTAGCAGACAGCAAAGCCAAGAAACACAGCAATAGCAGCTGCTGTTTATTATCACAAACTTTGTTCATTTTCAATTATTTTTTCAGAAGATACCACCATAGATACAGGGTTTTTTTTAAGGAAATGGGAGAGGAAGAAAATGCATGCATTTGCCTCCCCATAGGAAGGAAAAGAAAAAAAAATTAAAAACAACTCGTGAAAACATAGGAGCCAAAACTAGCTTAGAGCCTGTTGTTTCGAGTCCTTGCTAGGGCTCAGTTTGGCCTAATACACCAGGAAGGTCAGTCTTGCCCAACTTGTCTCGGTTGTTACAAAACAAGCAGGTTACAACAGGAATCTGAATAGCTGTGGGGTGGTTCTAATCGAGCCCGTGGCATATGGGCCATAAGGTATAACCATACAGGACCTCCTCGCTGGCATCCCACACCGGGATGTTGATGGACACAGCCAGCACAGGAGCTGCCCCCCCGACTGCTTCCAGCTGGGAGCTCTCCACAGCACGGCACACAGCTGTGGGGGGCACAGGCAGGAGGAACTATCTCCATTCAGTCCCTTTCAGCCACAGCTAAGCCACGCTGGAGACACTCCATTCGAACACATTTAAGAATCATTTAAACTACTGTGGGGCACAGAACGCATTTCATCAACCTATAATGAAGGTAGGACCAAAGGACCAAAAGCCACAACTATATTAGGCTGTGGGAAGATGAAGAAAGCTCAGAAACATTGCAAGTGTCTGCAAGACCTCTGCAACAGCAGAGGATGTGTTAAATAGCACTCCAAAGTCCAACTTCTGCCAAGCAAATTTAGCACGTGCAGTGTAGCCAAGGTAGAAAGAAAGGAAGGAGCCAAAGCTCTTTACATGTGTTGCAGAGGAATTCTGCCCAATGAATCTCAGCAGGCCGATAAGTGACAATAAAGACCTATTACATTACACAGTCCTGAAGAGCAGCAGAAGGTAACTTGACTGTGGAGAAGTACTAGGAGAAAAGCATTTTTAAAGTAGAGTAACACTGAGATTCAGGGCTGAAGAGGAAAAAAATGCAGGGTCAGATTCTCTCACCGCAGAAACAGCTGGCTAAGTGGAGAATTCTTTGGGCATAAAAGAACACTGCTGGCAAAAAAAAAAAAAAATTCAGCAGATGTGTCTGCACAGTGTGCTGTGCCAGCTCTTTCTTGTTCCCACTTTACACGAGGAACAGCTGCCTTCACACAACCTGGGACAGAGCGCAGAAAAGCACGGAGCATAATGCTCTGAGAACTTCAGAAACTTGACATACACTAAGGTCATCTGTGAATACTGAATGAGATACTATGGATTACTTTAAGAAGTAATTTAAATCAGTCACACCACACAGTTTCACTTTGACCTTTAAAAGCAAAGAGAAAGCAACTCATGCAATGCTATATATCCACGGTCGCTACCAAGGACAACAATTTATTGCTGACTAGACAATGAAATACCCAGATGCTGCAAAAGAGGGGGCTAAAAATAGCAAGTCTTTGTTTTTAAATAATTATTTTCAATTGTTTGCTTATTGTTATATTGATGAAGAAGGCTTCAATCACCTAATATTTTACCTTCTCTTTTCTCCCCACTGCAATAGCATATACACACAGAGAGGCAATTAAGAAGTCGCATTAATATCAAGGCATTAATAAGATACTGAACTGTTTTTCAGATAGGCAAATGGATAATCCTTTCAACACCGCTCACCCCTAGCTATACGTGTACCCATAGCTGACTGACACAAACACGCTGAAACTTCTTATTATTAGAAATAGTAAACATGTCCCGGTTCACTAAGGCAAAATGGAAGGGGAAGAAGTTACAAATCAGTCATGTAAGTGTCTGAACAGTAACTAGAGAGTGAGGAGTAAAACAGCAAGAAAATAATCAACACAAGAAGCACATATAGTGGATAACGTTCATGCCAGAATGACAGGTCTGCACAGGATGGCAAGAACAGCAAGTCAGCGCAGGAGCCGTATCTAAAAACAGTATTGGAAGAGTGCGATATAGGTAGTTCCCTGCACTGTGATGGGGGGGGATTTTTTTTTTTTAAATCAGGATTTATGACAAAATTAAGCAAACTGAGGGGGAATAATTTTAGGGGGAAAAAAGCCAAATACATAAAACTCAAAAAGCCTTCTTACACTATAGTGCAAGACCACACTGTTTTGGAGAAAATACTTACACATTTGAAAACTCCATTTGTAAACTTTGGGCAAACGATTATTCTGTTCTTTGAGATCAGACTCCTTCTCTCCATTTTTCCCACATTTTCCTGGAGATTGTGTTCTTGCAGGTGATTTGGTTTGGTGAGATTTCATGCCAGTAGAAACCGATTTTGCTGACTGAGACTTGGACACACTTTCACCAGCAGATAGTTCTTCACTGTCACTGCTGTTTGCTGAAGAAACAAGAAGGTATATTGTTAGAAAACGAAGCAAACCTCCTGCCCAACCCAGAACTTATCAGAAGCTACCCCTGTGCCGATTTTCATATAACAGGAGTCTATTTGACCAAAATCCTTTTACTTTAAAATGATATAATCCATCCTGGTATAGAATCTTGGCACACAGCTCTCTGCATCACTAGTACAATGAAGACCACAAAACAGGTATGTAATGGGGCCCCTCCAATTCTGGCATGCTGTGAAAGGGAAACAGCTGCTGTGCAGGTAGATTCATAGCTATTATGTGGACCTATGGGAACCAACAGGGCTGGAGAGTGGATAAAAGTATCAGGCTGACTCCACAACGCACCCTGAATACTGGTAAGTATTTTGCTGAAAGTGTGCATGCAAGAATGTAAGGGGGTGAGGTAGGGACACGCTTCCTGTAAGGAGCATGTGTAATTCTTGAATACAATCCAACTGCTCAAGATCTGTATAGGGAAGGTGCACTCTACTCTCTGAACAATTCAACATAGCATCACACTTGTTGCTTTAGAACCATATCCATAAATAAATTGCCTACATTAGAAAAGAAGGGGAAGGAGGCAGTCCATGTGTCAATATGGGTGCAAAAATTATCCATTTATTCCTGCTTATAGGACTATACTTCTTCTAAAACAGTTAGCAAGACTGACTGTTATGTCCTACCTCCTGCTTATCTTTTTTTAATATTAATTTCTAATATAGCATTCACTATATACAAAACTCTATCCTGTTTCAGAGGTAATAGTTACAGACAAGCTTTTCACTGTGCTCCTAAGACATATGTAGCAGAAATGAGAGTCAACAATTGGCCTTTGTCTTAGCCTTATGTCACCTTTATTTATTTTAGGTTTTCTGGGCTAAAATAATTAGCATTAATCTGAATTTGCGTGACATAATATACAAAAATCCATATTCTTCTAATTGCAGAAAAACATCTTCAGCTGACCCAAAACAGAACTTCACCTCACACTGAAATAACTATAAAGCAACAGGCTGAACTGAACACAGTTTTCTAATCAAACCACCCAAAGGCAAGTAACAAAATAATCTAGAAGACATGATTTATGAGTAACGTTTGAAAGGATGAAGCTTATTTAGCATTACAAAAACAAAACTGGGGTGGAAGCAGGGGCAAGAGATTATAATTCAACAGAAGTCTAGTGAAGCACTGGAATAAAATGCCTAAGGAAGCTGCAGAATCTCCATCATTCGAGTTGTTTTTAAAGCATGTTAAATTAATATTTATTAAGAGAAACTTATGCCTCGGTTGTACCTGCTCTAGGTGTTGACAAAATGAACCCTGAACTGAAAGTCTCTTCTGATTCTGCTCTTTATGATCTGGTGATCTACACTGGAGAAACTGAACACCAAGATACACGTGGTATGAAAGAACTTGGCTGGCTGCAGAGCTGCCGTTGTCTGCTGACTTAATACAAAGGCACCAGTTGAAGCTGCTTTTAACTGGTGTACCTGAATTTTGCAAAAAGCAGGTTTTTTTGCTCACAACTGACTCCACATTTTATCTATTTCTTGCCCTTATTACATACAGCAGTGCCTGAAGTCTAACAAAAAGAATGCATACACACCAAGGACTGTACATGGTACAAGAAACAATTCTAGCTTTGAAGTGCTTGCATCCTGACAAAAACATGGGTTGAGAAAAAGGGATAAATTCACCAAATCAAAGGGAACAATGGCAAGGCTAAAAATGATGTATCAGTTCTGAAAATTCAGTTTGTTTTGTTACCTTAATCCTGGGGTGAGGGAAGGAATAAGGATTATGGCAGTAGAAGATTAGTGAAATGGAATGAAAAAGGATGTGAGAATGTGAAGAGGAAATCAATGAACATGAAGGATGGGTGGGGTGAAAGCAAATACCAAACCAGGAAGTACAGACTTTTAGTAAAAGCTGTTAAAAGAAAAAAAAGGGGGCAGGGGAGAGAAAGAAAGAGGGAAAAAAGGCATAACATATGCTTTCTATCCTTGCTTTAACTGCGTTTGTTACACCTATCCCTCTGGCTTCACTCTCCAGCCGACTGTTCTCTGGTATGTTTTATTAACAGCGAGATGAGGCAGTAACTGATCTTGCTGTCTCCTGAACACATGTGCGTATGTCTCTCTAATACACCTCTGCTTTTATTAAGCTTCTCTTCCCCAGTACTGTGGTTTCTATTCCAATTAGCTTCTACAACTACAAAAAAGCTGCAAAAGCTGCATTATTTACTGAAGGTGTAAGACATTATATAGGAAGAAAATAGAGCCTATGTTTTTCTGGAATTATTCTCATATTTGCTACTGGAAGAGATATTAACCTCTAAATACTCATCTTGCAGAAAATACAAAGTATAATTTCATCCAGGTCCCCTCTATAACATGCAGCTATCATGCCACAGAGATTGCTGTCCCAGTTCTACCAAGTGTGAAATACCCGCTCTTCTCAGTCTTCGTGAATTACACGATGTTAAGGACCTCTTAGAAATAGGCCCAGAAATAACACAAGACATTTAAAAACACTTTGGCATTCAGCAAGAGTAGTTTCTTCATTTGAACAGTATTAAGAATTCCCTGTGAGAACATTTTGTCCTAATACATTTTTATTTCCAGACTTCATCTCCTACAATTGTTCAAACAAATGACACAGTACTTTCACACATTTCATTTCACACTGAGCTGCTGTACTTACTAGTTTTACTCTTCTTTTTGTTGTTCACAGATGTTTTGTGGCTCCTCTTCTGCTTTTTTGAGGAGCTGCCTCCTCCCTGAGCATCTTTAAGTCTTTTTTGGCCTGTACAGACTATGGGGGGGGGAACAGGAGAAACAGAAATGAAATAAATACTTGCAATCCTGTGTGTTTTTCTCAAAGTCTCAAAAAAAAAAAAAAAAAACAAACCCCAAAACAAAACCCACCCACCCAAATAAAACCCACTTCAGAGCTTAAGTTTGTAGACAACAATGCAACTGTTCCTGCCCATCCTTCTATGGCTCAGCTTTCTACTTATATTGACAAGAAGGGATGAAGGAGGATGGAAGGCAGACAAAATTTGTTGGTTAGAGTGCACATGTAAGATGACTGCAAGTAACTTTCCCGTATGCATCATCAGAATTTCTCTTGAACCACGCAGATTTTTATTTTTAATACTGTGTGCTGGTTTCAGCTGGGATGGAGTTAATTTTCTTTCTAGTAGCTGGTATAGTGCTGTGTTTTGGATTTAGGATGAGAATAATGTTGATAACACACTGATGTTTTTAGTTGTTGCTAAGCAGTCAAGGACTTTTCAGCTTCTCATACTGGCCTGTTGATGAGAAGGCTAGAGGTGCACAAGAAGCTGGGAGGGGGCACAGCCAGGACAGCTGACCCAAACTGGCCAAAGGGCTATTCCATACCATATGACATCATGCTCAGTATATAAACTGGGGGGAGTTGGCTGGGGTGGGGCCACTGCTCAGGGAATAGTTGGGCATCAGTCAGTTCGTGGTGAGCGATTATTTTTCATTTGCATCACTCATATTTCTTGGGTTTTATTTCCTCTCTCTTTTTGATAATTTCCTTTTCATTACAATAATAGTAATAATAATAAAAAATTATTTCAATTTAGTTTAATAAAACTATTCTTATCTCAACCCACGAGTGTTTTCACTTTTACTCTTCTGATTCTCTCCCCCATCCCACCGGGGGGGGGGGAGGTGAGCGAGTGGCTGTGTGGCACTTAGTTGCCGGCTGGGGCTAAACCATGACATACTGTAAATTAAGTAAGAATATATTTATTGGAAAAACTTATCAAGAACTACTGGAACTGAAAAATGTTCAAAAAAGCCTGTTGCACTTGGAAGCTGTGAGAAAAAAATGAAACTATCACTTGTGATCAGTAATTACATTAATTGAAAGTATTAAAAAAATCTTAGATAATGTTAAAAAACAAGGCAACAAAAAAAAGAAGGCAAACAAAGCAAAACAAGAAAAAAAAACAAAGGAAAAAGTCTATCGGTATTCGTGACTACAAGGGGAAAAAGTAGAAGAGGAAGCTAAAAGAATTCTAGTACACCTGTTAAAAGAGCAAATTTTAGGAGTTGTTCAAACATTGTTCCACAGCCACCTGACTTACAGATTAAAAATTACTCCTCTAACAAAACCATTTAAATTAAGAAACCCAGTTTTGTAGAACAGGCAGCATGCTAACAAAATCAGAGAGGAAGTTTAAGTCTAATGCACATAAAAGTAATACTGTGCAATAGTGGAAAACTTTTTTTCATGTAGTAATAATTTCCTTTTATATAAAAAGCAAACAAATTAAGTTCTAAATCTACACATCTATAATTAACAAAGCAATACAGGCATATTTATTGAGGGCTACATATTCACCTCTTCCAAATTCTCTCCTTTGTTTAAGGAAACACATTTTGCTGCATTCTTTCAAAAGAACAAACAGAATAATGAAGGTAAATGACCTTAAGGGCATTTTGAGAAAATTCAGTTAATTATTAACCGAAATCTGCTGAGATGAAGAAACCACTTCTGTCATCTCAGAATTATAGTCAGATGTTTTTTTTTTTTTCCTTTGTATTAATAATTTTTTAGGCACTTTTAACACAGTGAAAGTAGCTGTACTTTTGATGGAACTGTAAAAGAGCCAGTGACTTTCACAAAAAAGCTTCTGGATCCAGCCTTGCAAACAGTTAAAAAGCAAGCAGCAGTACACTGATAAGTGTTGGCAGTGATTATTATCCCCTGTTCTCCAGTGGTCTCAGGATAGGAACGTCTATCTGCAAAATCACATTTCAAAGTGCAACACAGCTAGTAAGGTTAATGTTTGTTATACGCTTGACTTCCATTTTTTCAAAACATTCGTTTCAAAAGACGCAAGTTTGAAATGGTTGCCTAAGCATGCAATAATTGGCACTTTCTACCCCCAAATAAACAGCTTACAGAGAATCGAAAATTTTATGTAAGAAACAGTATCTTCTACTTGTAAGCAAGGTACTCAAAATGTACCTGCCTTGCTACAATAAGTATTCTTTATACAATGTGTTGCAGTTTGCTCTGGGCTTTTCTTGCCAGGGCCAGTATAAACTTTATTTTTAAACTTATTTATATTTTTA